CCTGCTTTGTACTCAGTGGCCATATTAAAAAAGCTGAGAACACTGTACTGTATGCTTTATTAACCATGCCCTCCACCTGTCCTGCCACTTTCAACGATCTGTGTATTCAAAAGTCCTTCCACTCCTGCACCTCTTTTTGAATTGTACCACGTATTTTATACTGTGTTTTGATGCTCTTCCAACCATAGTGCATCACCTCACACATCTCTGCAGTGAACCTCATGTGCCACCCATCTGCCTATTCCACCAAGCTGTCAAAGTCCTTTTGGACTTCCACACTGTCCTCCTCACAGTTTCCCAGTTTGGTGTTATCTGCAAAGTTTGAAACTGACCCCTGCACGCCAAGATCGAGATCATTAATATATATCAGGAAAGGCAAGGGTCCCAACACCAACCCTTGGGGAACTCCACTACAAACCTTCCTCCAGTCCAAATAAAAATGTTGAGAGAATCATAGTTAAGAAGCGGCCCTTCAACCCATTGATGCACACTGCCAAAAATACACTATGACACTAACCACACTTTTTTTGCATTCGGCCCATAGCCTTCAAAGTTATGACACTTCAAGTGTTCAATCAAGTGCTTTTTAAAGGGTGTGAGGTTTCCTGCCTCAAATACCCTCCCAGACAGCGCATTTCAGATATCCCACCACCCTCTGGGTGAAAAAGCTTTTCCTCAAGTACCTTCTAAACTTCCTGCCTTTCAAAGAGTGTGACCCCTTGTCCATGACCTTTTGACTAAGGGAAACAGCTGCTTTCTGCTCATTCTGCCCATGCCCCTCATAATCTTATATACCTCTATCAGCCTTCTCTGCTCCAAAGAAAACATACCAAGCTTATCCAATCTCCATAGCTAAACTGCCCTCTCCCTAGCAACATCCTGGCAAATCTCCTCTGCACCCCAGAGAATAGGTTGTCCCATGATGAGGTTAAGTAAACTATCTCTATCTTCTCTGGAATTTAGAAAAATGAGAAGTTAACTAAATAGAAGATTGTGAAATATTTGACAGGATAGACACTAAAGAGTTATTTCTCATCACTGGGGAATTTATAACATGCTTAGCACAACTTAAGGAGATGCTGAACATATTGGATTGAGAAGAGGAGAAGTTTCTTCACTCGGAGCTTTGTGAATTCTAGGAATTCACCATCCGAGAGGATTGTGGACTCTCCAGTGTTGAGTCTGCTCAAGTGTGACTGATTTTTGATCTTTCAGGGCATCAAGGATTACAGACACTGGTCAGGAAATTGGCGTTGACGCAGAAGGTCAGTTATGATCATAGATGTGGCAGGTTCGCGGAACACGGGGTGTACTCTTGCTAATAATCTTGTATCTTTCGCAACAGAGATAAATTAAATATGCCTTATTATGTTGTTAAACTCATTACTAAATAATATGCTATCTCTAACTTTCCAGCAAACGAAAAAGCATTTGTCCTTTGATCTCTCTATTTACGAAAAATATCTCTAATAATTACTGCTCTAGGAATAAGCATACATTCTATGCAAAAAAATTAGGAGATGGCTCTAGGGTTGATTTATCCAAGTGCCAAATGTACACGTACTAGACTGAAGGACAAGCTGGACGGCAATCATGACTCATGCATCTGGCTCGGCTTGTAAATGACAGTTAATGAAAGTGGGAAACACATATAGAAACATTCATCCCTGGCAAACTGCAGATCAACAGACAGGAGAAAGGAGTGGCAAGAATTCGAATGATATTCTTAAAGCATAGAGTACAAGTGATGCGTTGCAGAGACGCATTGTACCAAAATTACCTTCAAATTAGCAATTTAACCACCTGCTTCTAATCTGTCCCAGTTATGAAGGCTTCAATCCAACATCAGTAATTGGCTAACAAGGGTTTCCTATTCGAATGGAAATATAACCTCTGCTTGATGGGACATTGACTTTTTCCAAAAGGTAAAGCACAGTGCTCAAGCCGATGCTCACCCAAAAATAACCATACCTCAAAGCGTCATCAGTGAGAGTTCAAAAATCACACTATGAATTTCTTATGTTTGCATAATTGCTTGTAAGCCCTCCAAGGAACTGGAATTACTTAAGCACTGCATCAAATTACATGATGTCCAGCAATGTAAAGTGTGGAACAAGTTTATTCTTCAAATCTAGAAGCGGTAAGGTCAGGGCGTTGGCAAACATAATTACTGCTGGATAAAGCCTCAAATAAAAACTAAAACAAGTACAAAAAACTTTAAACAATAACAAGGTTCATAATGGTATATTAATAAAACAAGGAATAGAACAACAAGGATTTGACTCAGTTTTTCTCAGTGTAAAACAATAGTATAAGTTATCTGAGCATAACTGACTGAGCAAATAATGTGATTCTGACCATTTGGGTCATTTGTACATGGAAGGTGAACGAACAACAATGGATGTTTAAGCTGGTTGTGGTACGGGGAACAGTAAATTCTAACTGCTGTCAAATGCAAAAGCATTAAGGTTGTCAATTGCTTGAAAGAGGTTCAGCTTTAATTAAGCAATTCAATTTTGAGTTAGAAGCCCAGTTTCAATAGCTGGCTTACTGGCAAAGTTTTTTAATGATGCAATGTAATGTTGAGGCTGCAAGAAAGTAAACAGATGCAATTTCAACATTAAAACTGTTCTATGTATGTAAATACATCCCAAGAAATAGGACAAATATTTCAGTCTAACACAGTGTTACAGGTCAGTTTCTAGCAGCATGCATTGCTGATTGTCATATCAAAACATTTCGAAGTTGTAATTTTTGAAGCTAAAATTTAGAACTACGGTGGTCATTCATGCCATCAGTTGCTTATTGTAGAAAGAAACAAACAGTGACTGAACTGCCCTGATAAATTTATATGCAACGTTCAAGAGATGTGTCCAAATGAAACATCCACCCATTCATTTTTCCACCTTGCCTTTCCAAAGCTTTTTCTCTAATCAGTATTGAGAGAACACAGCTCTCTTTACCAGATAAAACCCTAAACACCTTTAAACAACACAGAGATGAACATAAATACAAATTTATTGATAACATTGTAGAACTCATGTTTCTTGGTTGAAATAACAGTAACCGGCTAATGAAATCTTTGCATTTTAAACAGCAAGGTTTTATTACTAGTTCTTTCATTGATGTATCATTCTAAATGATCATTATCAGTCAAATACTACAGCTGCTTTCTTTTGGGAACTCAGTTACAAAATTCTCCATTCAATTGGCTTCTCCTTGGCAGGAACGTACAAGAATAATCACACAAGAAATAAAGTCATGTTCTCACTAGGAATAAATATTGACAGCTCAAGAGTTGGTTTTATACATTTTCACAGAATAGTCATTAGCTATCCTAAATGAAATGGATTTCTTGTTTTTCTTTAAGATTATTTAATTCAAGAAAGGCTTGTTATGTAATCCCAAAACTGTTCACTGTTTTATCTTAACACAGCACTTGCAAAAGGAAACCAAAGATAAGATGGACAAGCTAAAGCTTTCAAAAATTAATCCTTTTGAAAGAGTTTTATATTTTTTTCCAGATCACAATGAAGTTATTTGACAAAACTATTAAAGGCATTCCTGAAAAGCAAACAATGACGAAGTTACAAGTAGAAATGTCAAGGGTAAATAGGAAGTGCTACTCTTTCTTGTGTAATTGTTACATACGCTGAAGGATTAGGGTTCCTTCTATTTTGATTATAATATCCTAGATCAAGTGAAGCCACATTAGAACTTTACATTAACAAATAGATTAACACGCAAGTCTGCGAATCTTTTCTCCCATGTCTGTAACAGTCCTACCTCAGCCTCTCTGCTTCTGCTACACCCCATCCACCCCCTGTTCACTGAATCATCTCAATAATCTCCTGACTAAAGTCTCATTCTTTGTCTTTTGTAAAAGTCAAGCTCATCCAAGCTCTATGGTTTATATTTTATTCCAATATAAATCCTGCTCACATTTCAAAACCCAGTTCTTCACAGCCATTATAGGCTTCTGGGCTTCCAACATCTCAAATTTTGAATTCTGGTCTGTGTTGAATCCCTTCAAGGTTTTTCCCCATTCCATCTTAGTAACCCCCTCCAACCCTCCCTGAAGGATTCTCTGACATGGGGCTTAGTAAATCCCTCTCTTCCTGTGCCACATCATTGATGTTCCTTGTTTTTAAAATATCCATCTTTGCATTCGAATTTCTCCTTGACTTTTGTCCCCTCCCTAACTCTAACCTTTTTAAACAGAAATGTCACCACAGGTATAACTGATACACTTTCCACCAAAACTTCATGCCAGGCTCCTTTACCCAACATTATTGGATTTATCATTGTGTTTAACACATGGACTGTTTATCACATTTTGTAGTTAAGGGTGGGATGGACCAAAGCCTTGAAGTTAAGATTTAAGTTCTACGAAGTGAATTTACATTACCCAACCTTAATTCTTCCTAACGAGTACATGTGGTCTCTTACATTCAAGGACTCCACTTATGGCAATCAATCTCTTATGTAACATATTGCAGGCTTACGATTTATTTACACAAAACAGGTCACATTTTCATCACCATCCAGGGGAGGCATTGGCCTAGCGGTATCATCGCTGGACTGTTAATCCAGAGGCCCAGATAATGTTCTGGGGACCCAGGTTCGAATCCCACCATAGCAGATGGTGGAATTTGAATTCAAAAATATCTGAAATTACGAGTCTAATGACTGTGACTCCATTGTTGATTGTTGGAAAAACCCATCTGGTTCACTAATGTCCTTTAAGGAAGGAAACTGTCATCCTTACCTGGTCTGGCCCAAAATGTGACTCCAGACCCACAGCAATGTGATTGGCTCTTAAATGCCCTCTGGGCAATTCAGGATGGGCAATAAATGCTGCCTAGCCAGTGACACCCTTATCCCGTGAATGAATAAAAAAAAAATCCACAGATACAATTAATGTATTCAGATTTAACTGAAAGTATCCAAGGCTGAGTTATACATATTTTTAGTCTAAAAAGGAATCAAGTAATTGAGGCAGGCAAGAAAAAGGAGTTGAGACCACAATATGACCAGTCCTACTGTTAGTGAATGGCACGCTAGATTTAATCAGCTGAACGGCCTACTCCTATTTCTTATAAACTTGTATCTGCTCATTTGTTCAACAGTATAAAAGCATAAGCTTATGGCAGAATTTAAAATTTTCAATCCAAAATATTTCATATTCATCCAAAAATAAGTCTACAGATAATTCAGTTGTCATAAATGTGTGGAATCATTCCATGGTTGTTATTAGCAGTATCAGTATAATTTACAACCTGAGAAAATATACTGTTGTTATTGACTTGCTCTCATTCAGATGTTTCGTCACCATGCTAGGTAACATCATCAGTGAGGCCTCCGATAAAGCGATGTTGTTCTACTCCGCTTGGAATTTATATTGTCTGGTCTGTTATGGTGAGTTGTGTCATTTCCGGTTCTGTTCTATATGGGTTTGTATATGGGGTTCAATTCTATATGTTTGTTGATTGCATTATGGATTGAGAACCATGCCTCTAGGAATTCCCGAGCGTGTCTATGCATCAACCCATAATGCAATCAACAAACATTATTTATATTCTTTATGCCTAGATGATTTAGAAGCAATTTATTACAGAAATGAGAAACTCATATGAAAATGAAAACAAATTACAGGCAGCACATTTAATCACCCACACTGCTAAACTGAATTGGCATTACAACACAAAATCATTTCCATCTTCAGAAATATTCTGGTCCTTATTCATATTAAACATGAATGAATATACACTTCCTGCATTTCATCTGACTTCCATTAATAATATAAACTTCAATTAATTAATTTTTTATTGCCCAAACCGAGCAAAGGTTGAAGGAACTTTTTATTTATAAAGAATGCAGAACAATAGAAAATCTCAAGACTGTTCCTGCACTCAAAAAGAATCCAGGAAATCCACAATATTCCTACTTAGTTCGTAAAACCAAGAAATAAAATCCATGCACTTTCTGCAAAAAATGGTCAATCTACAATATATTACTCTCAGACTGCAAATTAAAAATTTGTCTGCATCTTACATACTTTTAGTTAGTTCTGAGTAGCTTGTCTTGTTCTTTGGTTAAAGTAGCAAATGCCGCTACTCCTTTAAAGATGGATTGGCATTACTCATGTTCTACCATGCCAAACAGAAATGCTAACATAATTCGGTAATGTCAAATACGCTTAACATAGAACATGGTGTGAATTGATGCCGCCTGAATCAAGTCAATTATAGCAAATATGAACTACATGGGAGAGTTAGGTTAAACTTCGTAAAGACATGAATGGCTTGGTGAAATGGTCAGATAAGTGGCAGATAAAAATTCATGCTTGGAATTGTGAAATAAATCATTTTGGATCAACAATCAGGAACAGGCAAAATAAAAGGTAGAAAAATAGATGGTCCTGCAGACAAATTTGGACACATCACTGAAAGTGAAAGCGCAGGTTGAGAGCATTGTTAATAAAGCAAATGGCATTCTGATCTTTGAAAATACCTACATAAGAGTACAAAAGCAATATGTTATGATAAATCTGCATCAAACATGGATTCCACTGCAGCTGGACAACCGCATCCAGTTCTGGGCATCATCAGGAAAGATCAGAAGATATTAGAGAGGGTGAAGAAAAAAATTCATGAAAATGGTTCCATTGATGAGAAACTTCAGTTATGCACGCAGACTGGAGAAGCAGAGGCTATTCACCTAAGAGAAGGGAAGGCCAAGTGCAAATATAAAAGCAGAGTTCAAAATTCCAAGGGGTTTGGACAGATTAGACAGGAAGAAGCTGTTCTTATTGGTCGAAGGGTCAAGAAGTGCAGAACACCAATTTAAGGCAATTGGCAAAACGAAGCAATACCAACATGAGAAAAAAATTGTTCACACAGCAAGTGGTTAGAATCTAGAATACGCTGTTCAAAAATGTGATACGACAGATTCAGTTGAGATTTTCAAAATAAACTGGATCATTACCTGAAAACGAAACATTTGCAGGGCCACTAGGTTAAGGTTGGGGATTGGTAATAGACAAACTGCTCTTGCAAAGAGTCAATACAAGACCACTTTGGTGCTGCAACTATTGTATGATTCAACACTGCATTTGTCCAACTTTCAAAAGGCAAAGAAAAACCAAAACAGAAACAGATCACTAACTGCAAGCCTGGCTTCTCTTCTGTTAAACTTCATTTGAAACCCTGCACAAGGCTTGTTTGAAAGACACCAATCATACAATTGTGTATTCCTTTTCCCTCTTGACTGTCTTACCTGTGGAATACTGCAACCTTCCTTTTGAGAGAAGTACTGCTTCTTGAACTCATAATATGCATTGTACTGATGCCAGGGCTGGAGAAATTCAAACCTGGAAATTAAGTCACAATTAGTCAGTTGGTCACACAGAACTTGAATACCACTGAAAAAAACATATAAGATGATGTTACATTGTATGTTATTGGTATTAATACACAGGGCCTTGTGTTTTGTAGACAGAAAAAACATGTACATGCACTGCCTGTTTCATTTCAACACCATTGTTGACTGCTATTCGATAGCAAGAGGCCAAGGTTCAAATCCCACCTGCTCTAGAGGCACGTAATAATGTCTCTGAACAGGATGATTAGAAAAATACAGGCAGCCATGCGCTGGCTCATGTCACAGAGCAATGCTTTGACTAGTCAGAGTCAACCTACCTAGTGTGAAATCTAAACAAAGCCTGGCAATTAACAGTTAATCATCATTAACTGCGCCATTCCACGTGGCATTGATTCTACCAAAGTACACTTGCCAACCATTCAGTACTCTTCAGCCCATTTCTGAAGAAGGGTCCCGACCCAAAGCGTCAGCTTTCCTGCTCCTCTGATGCTGCCTGGCCTGCTGTGTTCCTCCAGCTCTACACTGTGTTATCTCTGACTCCAGCATCGGCAGTTCTTACTATCCCATTTAGTACTCTCCTCTCATTTGGTAAAGAGGTTTTCCTCTTTATTGGCATTCTTGCCAGTTGTTTTGATTAGTACATGACAAAACAAGGTACAAACTTAAAACATTTTCTGACAGGTGATCATACAAAACTGGATTAAAACTTTATCTAATCAGATTGCAGGATATGATGTGCTTCTACTGTTTGTTGCTGGTGAACATAGATACTTTTGCAGTACATACACATATCTGAACTATGAGCAGCCATTCAGCCCCTCACACTTGTTCCACCAAATCTGATAATGTCATAATTAATCTCATGTTGTTTCAATTCCACTTTCCTACCTAGCTCCTTGTTAGTCAAGAACTCATCTCACTCTGCCTTAAAAAAAATGACTCTACCTTCACTGCTCCTGGGGAAAAGAATTCCAAAAAAAAACAGCACTCAGAAACAGTATCCTTTTCATTTCCACGCTAATTAGGAGACATCACATTTTAAACTGTGTCCCCTAGTTCTGAACCGACCCACAATGGAATTTTTCTATCAACATCCAGCCTGCAAGGCCGTCTCAGGATCTTATATGTTTTCAAGAAAATCAGTTGTCACCTGTATTATACAAATTTGTTACTTAATGATTTGAAAAAATAAACCAAACTCTCAGATTCATTCTGGGATTTTAACATTTGTTCTCTGGTTCGTTCATCTCATTAGACAATAAGACTACCATATTACAAATACCATATGTTATAGTAATACAGTAGGACCATAAGACAAAAAGCAAAAGTAGGTCATTCAGTCCATCTGGTCAGCTCCGCCACTCAATGAGACACTGGTTGATCTGATAATCCTCAACTCCACTTTTCTGCCTTTACCCATAATCTCTGATTCCCTTACTGATTAAAAATCTTGAGTACACTTGATGACCCAGTTCAAACAACCCTCGGTGGTAAAGAATTCTAGATTCACTACCCTCTGACAGAAGAAATTCCACTTCATCTCTGCTACTTCAGAGATTATGACCTCTTTCCCTAGACACTTGCACAAAGGGAAACAACCTTTTAATGCCGACACCATCAAGTCCTATACAATCCTGTATGTTTCAATAAGGTCTACGTTCCAACGAGTACAGACCCATTCCACGCAGCCTCTCCTCATAAAACAAAGACTCCAAATCTGGTATCAGCTAGTGAACCCACTCTGGGCTGCCCCTAATGACAGAGTATCTTTCCTTAGATAACAGACCCAAAACTGTTCACAATATTCCAGCTGTTGTATTACTAGTGCCTTGTGTAGTTTTAGCAAAACCTCCCTACTTTTATACTCCATTTCCTTTGAAATAATTTGCCTCCCCTATTACCCAATGAATGTTAGCTTTTTGTGATTCATGGATGAAGACGCTCAAATCTCTCTTTTCCGTAGCATTCTGCAATTTCTCTCCATTTAAATAATGTTCAGCTCCTCTATGCTTCTTGCCAAAGTGAATAATTTCACATTTCCCCATTTCCCCACATTATATTCCATCTGACAAGTTTTTGCCTGCTCACTTAACCCGTCTACGTCCCTCTACAGACTCTTGGTATCATCCACATTAGTTGCCGTACCAACTATTTTTGTGTCATCTGCAAACTTGGCTGTTGTTCATTCACCTTCCTCATCCAAGTCATGAATATATATTTGTGGCCCCAGCACTGAACCCTGTGGCACACCACTAATTACAGGTTGCCACCCTGAAATGGCACCCTTAACCCAACCCAGTTAGACAATCCTGTATCTGTGCTAAATATTCTACCTCCAACACTATGTACTCTTAAACAAAGACAAGTTGCTGGAAAGGCTCAGCAGGTCTGACAGCATCCGTGAAGAGAAATCAAAGTTAACATTTCAGGTCTTTTATAGCAGAACTCATAACTTTCCCATTCTGAGGAAGGGTCACCGGACCCAAAACTTTAATTCTGATTTCTCTTCACAGATGCTGCCAGACTTGTTGAGCTTTTCCAGCAACTTCTGTTTTTGTTTCTGATTTATAGCATCTACAGTTCTTTTGGTTTTTGTTTATTATGGGCTCTAATCTTTATCAAGTGGCCTAATGCGTGGTACCTTATCAAACAACTTCTAAAGGTCCAAATATTTTACATCCACTGCTTCCCCTTTATCTATCCTGCTTGTTACCTCCTCAAAGAATTCTAGTAAATTTGTCAGGCACGATTTCTCCTTCATGAAGTCATCCTAACTCTCCCAATCATATTATGCATTTCTATAAGCTCTGCTATGAGATCCTTTCTAACACGCGCTAACATCTTCCCAATAACAAAGTTAACTGTTCTATAGTTATCTGTTTGTCATCTCTTCCCTTTTTTTTAAAACAAAAAAAAGTGTTACACAGCAGTTTTTCAATCCTCTGGAATTTTTCCAGAATTTAAGGTCATCTCAAAGACCACCAGCAGTGCATTCACTCTCTCTGCAGTTACCTTCTTTAATATGCTAGGGTGCATCCTATCAGGTCCTGGGGACTCAGTCTTTAGCTGGCTCGTTTCCTTAGCACCTTTTCTCCAGTGATAGTTATTATATTCATTTCCTCTCCTTCTTTTTGCCCCTTCAATACGAAGTAATTTTGGAATGCTATTAACGTTTTCCACAATGAAGATCAATGCAAAATGCTTATTCAACTTCTTCGCCATGTCTTCGTTCCCCGTTTTTCTTTCCTCAGTCTCATTCTCTAATAGGCCTACGTTCGCTTTGGCTTCTCTCTTCCTTTTTATATATTTAAAGAAGCTCTTGCTGTCTTGTCTTGATGTTACATGCAAATTTATCGTCAAAACTTAATTTCTCTCTTCTTTTTGGACCTCTTTAATACTCTCCCAATCCTCTAGCTTACAATATGGCAAAGATCAGTTGCATTTTTTTCAATCTAATGCTATCCTTAACTTTACTGGTTAACCGTGATTGGCTTATCCCCTTCCTAGAATATTTCTCACTCACTATAATATGTCTTTATTGTATGTCATGAAATATTTTCATAAATGTCTGCCATTGTTCCTCAACCATACTTGCCGCTAAATTCCTTCCCAGTCCACTGCAGCAAGCTCTGCCCTTTATAATTACAGGTACGTCTCCTATTAACGCAATAGTTGTGTGACCTCGTGCTATAGGGAAATCGCTATTTCTGTACAGCAGAAAGTTCGTGTTATCCAAGCAGCATCCATTATTCATCAGTCGCGTTAGAGAAACACACATTATAGCAGAAATACCTGTACCCTTATTTAAGTACATTCTGAATCCTTCCTCATGGTTTCCTCTGCCAATCTGACTATCCCAGTCTGCATGAAGATAAAGTCACCTATGATTAATGTACTGTGTTTGAAACATTCCCTCATTAGTTGTGAAGCAGAACCAACCGTAGGGACATATGAGTTAGAAACAAGAGTAGATCATTTGGCCCTTTGAGTCTGCTCCATCATTCAACAAGGTCATGGCTGATCTGGTTGTGGTCTCAGCTACAGTTTCCTGCCTGTACCCAACTCTCAAATTCCTTATCTATTAAAAAGATCTAACTCAGCCCTAAATAAATTTAAAGACAGCCTTCACAACTTAGAGAGAGAAAAAAATCATTTGTCTTAGAAGGGAGATCTTTAATTCTTAATTTATGTCCATACATTCTGTTCCTTGAAAAGAGGAAACATCTTTCAGGTACCCGCTCTATCCAGTTCTTCAAGTTCTTACATTCAATAAGATCAGCTCTCTTTTATAAATGTTACAACATTCTGATGACCACCATAAAAGATCATTGTTTTAATGTAAAATTGGAACCAGAGAATTAGTGTCATTGTACCCTCAAATGTTAAACTTGATAAATAAATTGCAGTATAAAATTTGATTAGCATGTAGTGATAGGTCGGGGGAGAAAAGGAGAAAGTAGATTTGAATCAATTTCAAGGCTCGCCTTGTTACAAGTGGTCTGTTATGAATGTAACAAACAGTGGTGCTGAGTAGGTGCCAGCTTCAATTAATTTCAGCTGCAACTGAAGGAAAGAATTAAGGATAGTGCACTCAAACTGAATTAAACAAAAATTCAGAATAATTAAAAAATGAAATGTGTATTACAGGAAGTAGCTTGGAGCACAACTAAATCTTTTAAGAAGCAAGAAATGTTGAACATGATCCAGGGTTTTAACCCTACACACAATTTTAATCGTAATGATTTAAAAATCTTAGTTTTACTATTAGTTTAGCTAACATAAGAAATAACCTATCTTAGTTTAATTAAACAAAATACAAAGGTCACTGACTATATTCTTTCTGTCAATGAAAATGACATTAGCCTGATGGGTGTTTGACAAAAAAAACCCAACATAATTTGATCTTATTTTTTTCAATAAGGAAATTAATCCAAGACTTGCTCAAAGAATAACAAGAAGAAGTTTAAAGGGTTGATATCTGCTCAACTTTAATGTATTGATGATGCACATCTAAGGACAACATCAGTCTTCAAACTCCAAGAAGAGTTAGAGGACAAAGGTTCAAAGTAAACTAACTTCAAATGAAACTGAAGATTATAAGATCTTTGTGCCTACCTCCACCCCTGTTCTGGAGAATGGACTCCGAGCAAAAGCTACTGGTTTAATTAAATTCTTCAACAGAAAACTCAATTAATATTTGACTAGAAATGGCACTGGGAGTTAAGAAGATGCACTTCAGAGGACTTTTACCTGCTACAAAAAAAAACTATAGGCCAGTTAATTTAACATCTGTAATATGAAAAAGCTGGAATCTATTAATAAGGTGGTTACAGAAAAGCACTTCGAAAATCGCAATGCAATCAGAAAGAATCTGCATGGTTTTGTGAAAGTGAAATTGTCACAGCATCACAGAAATGTTACAGTGCAAACAGTGGCCATTTGGCTCACACTGTCTGCTGGCGCTCTAAATAATTCCACTTTCAGAACTGAAGCTTCTCCCATAAATTTGGGCAGTAAGGTGTAATGTGGATAAATGCGAATATATCCATTTTGGCAGGAAAGGTAGCATATTATTTTCATGGAGAAAGGTTGCAGAACTCTGCAGTACAGGGGATCTGGTTATCATTCTGCATGGAGTACAAAGTTATTATGGAGGTACAGGAAATGATTGGAAAAATAAATGGAATATTTGTATTTATCACAAGGGCAATGGATCATGAAACAAAAGATTTTTGACAGTTGTATAGGAAATTGGTAAGAATACATCCTGAGTACTGTGCACAGTTTTAGAATCGCCCTATTTAAGAAAGGCATTTATTGCAATTCATGCAATTCAGAGAAGTTTAACTCGGCCAATTCATGTATAAGTGGATTATCTTATAAAGGATGGACCTGTACCCACTAGACCTGCAAAGATTAAGTGGTGATTTTTACTGAAACATAAAAGATCGTAAAGAGACTTGACAGGGTCAATGCTGAATGGATCTCTTCTCTTGCGTGACAGACTAGAACTAGAGGGCACAGTTTAAAAATGTCTCCTATTTAACACTGAGATGTGCAGAAATCTTCAAGGCTCATGATTCTTTGGATCTCTTCTCCAGAAAGTGATCATAACAGGGTCATCAAATGCTTGTATTTTAAAGAAGAGGTAAGTAGATTCTTGACTAACAAAGGGAGTCAGTAGTAGTCATGTAAGCGGAGTTGAGGCAACGATCAGATCAGCTCCAATCTTAATAGATATCAAAGCAGACTCGAGTGCCTGAATGGCCCAGTCCTACTCCTAAATCACTAGTGTGTGGAACTGTGTGTGTGTGTAGATGGGTTGGTGCTGCATATTGTAGTGTAACAGTATTGAGCATGGAAGATATGAAGATAGCTTAATACACTACAGTTTTGCACAACTATTTCTGGGTGTCAGGGCAATTCTGCACATCACAATGACTTGAAATTAACCAAGGGTGGAAAATTCAATTTAAAAGTCAAAAAGGTGAGTGGTCCTTTCTTGCCACATGCTTCTTACTTCGTTAACATCTACGTTCATAGTATCAGCTTAAGGAATGTGACAGGAAGCATATTCTGCTAAATTCAACAATATTTTGCAGCTTTGATTATTAATATAACTGTAGTGCATTTATCCATCTGCGGTACACTGTACAAGTCAGCTGCAGGAGATTACAATAGAGGCTGCCTTTTATGCTGGCAATGAATCTATTTCAAAAAGTCTTCAATTTGACACATTTCAGGTCAGTTCATTTTAGAATATAAATACTTAAAGCATTTAAAAAAAAATGTTTTAGTCACATATTCTGCAAAGCATTAAAAAGTTTCTAACACATTATAAATGCACAGACGTAAGATTCTGCACATTGTCACCTCTGAATGTTATAAATTTAACTCGACACTACAACCACAACCATATAGTTATCATGTTGCCATCCCACAGTTCTTCTCCCGAGGATGTCAACTCTTGCAGGCCATTGGTGCCTGTGGTCCTGACAGTAGCCTGCCAACTGAGTGCTTTTCATGTGTAATGTTGACAAGCTATCTTAGTTCGATCCTAAACAAATGGAACACTTTTAAGCAGTAGAAACCAGGCAGCAAACAGAAGGGGGAAAACCACTTTCTTTCCTTCTTCATACCTCAAGACTGCTGAGCCCAAGCATAATGCTTTCAACTGCTGCTAGTGATAGGATTGACACACTCAATTCAAATTAGCTTAATACCTTAAGTTATAATAAGGAATATACAAATGGAGCCATCCCTTCCAATCCAAGCACACCTGAGCAATCTAAATCAGGTAAAACACTCAAAATTAAAAACTGCCTCCTCATAAGCTAACTCTGAATTGAACCTATAATGGTGTCCATAAACTGTTTAATCTTCGATGCCTAAATTTACCCATCTTGTTTTCAAATTCCATTTCCTACCATACAGTGTTGCTTAAAGCACTAATTCCAATGGAAATCAATTCCACGTCAAACACTGAGACACAACATTTACATGCATCTGCAGTCTTGTAAGTTAACCATTATTAACCATTATTTGAATCTTCAGTGACAGATTTCACAATCAGAAACAAGTCTGGAAACCTCTCCATATGACAGTACTTGTTGCCTTCAACTTTTGAAAAATTCAACAATTGTTTCAATCTTCTTTATTCATTAAAAGTACCAACCATAAGTCTTCAGAGCAGAAGGCCATGCCATACAATAGTATGAACATGATTGATCTGGTTGTGGGCTACTGTCCTCTCTGCCTCCGTAAACTCCCTCAGCAATCAAAAATCAGCCCTGAAAAAGTTTAAAAAACCCAGCCTCCCCTGTCTTCTGGGAAAGAGAATTCTACATTCTACTGACCCTCTGAAAAATGATTTCTCTTCATCTCCGGCTATTCAAAAGTGGAAATCACAGAATAATCTTAACCATTTTTCTTTACATCTTCTCCATTTCATCTACATCTTTCTAACCACAAAGCTGACACAGTATTTCAAATGGAGTCTGGAAAATGAGTTAAAAATAATTCAGAGATAGTAGGAACTGCAGATGCTCGAGAATTTGACATAACAAGGTGTAGAGCTGGATGAAAACAGCAGG